CAGCTGCTGCGGCCCCGTCGAGGGCGAGGCCTTGCCTGGAGCGCCGCACCCGCCCCCGGGCCCGGCGAGGGCTCCCTGGGGGCCCTGACTCCGGATCCGCCCTACTTTGGGGAAATTCGTAGGTAGGGCTCGGGAGTTCCGCCTTCTTTTTTGTTCAGGCCCCGCCGATGCCGATCTCCGCCCCGCTTTTCTGCTGCTGCTGCTTCCGCCCTGCTTCTGTGGGTCTCCGCCCTACTTCATGCTGGGTGCAGCAATTTCCGCCCTGCTTTTTCCGCCTCTTACAGGTGGATTTCCGACGCAGTTTTAAGTTGGGAAAAAAGCCACAGTACGGCGGATCTGGAGTCAGGGGGGGCGGGAACGACCCAAGAACTGCCCGTCGCGTTTCTCCTCGCGGGGGCAACTCTCTTTGCGCTCTCGCGCCCCGCGAAGCGCGATCATCTGCGCGCCTTCGCCCCCCCCCCCCCTGGTGGGAACGGGAGGAGAGACTCGCGCCTCGCCCTCGACATCGCCGAGGCCGCGAGGCGCGAAGCGAGGCTATAACTTCGCAACCCCGTGGCGGCCCCAGCGCACCTGGCCTCCCCAAGCATCGGGCTGCTCATCTGTTTATTTTTCGGTGCGTGGGCCCTTGAGCTCCGGACCCTTTCCCCGGGGCCGGTCTTTCGTCCCGAATCGTTCTCTGACGCTACCCGAGGCCCCGCGAGGGCCCCCAGAAGCCGAAAGTGGCCCAAAACCGCCCGCTCCAATTTGTTTGGAGCGTCGGATCTCTGGGTCCCTCCCTCGCCTCGCTCCCGTCCCTCCTCTCCATGCCGCCGAGGCACCTCCGTGGGGGCGGCGGCTGCGGCGGCGGCGCGAGGCCGGGCGTCCCCGTCGGCAGCCCAGCCTCGACAGGAGGAGGGAGAGGAGGAAGAGGGAGAACAAAGGAGGAGGTGGAGGGGGGAGGGAGGAGGACGAGGAGGAGGAGGAGGAGGAGGAGGAGGAGGAGGAAGGAGGAAGGAGGGGGAGGAGGAGGAGGAGGAGGAGGAGGAGGGGAGGCGGAGGAGGAGGAGGCGGAGGGGGAGGAGGAGGGAGAGGGGGAGAGGGTGGGGGATGGGGGATGGGGGATGGGGAAGGGGGATGGGGGATGGTGGTGGAGGAGGAGGAGGAGCAGGAGGACGAGGAGGACCAGTGTAAACCCAAGAGTCATCAACGATGTTGGAACAAACCCTCCCTCCAAGCTCCCTCTTCATATGCCCCACAACGGCTCATTTCCGTTGAAGGAACTGCCTCTTTGAAAGACAACCGTTTGAAGACCCTGAAGCATGTCAAAACATTGTTCTCGGGATTCCAACGCCACGGATCAACCTGACTGTTGCGTATTGACAATCCTGGATCGTGGCAGAACACCATTCCCGGGACTTCAACAAAGCGAATCAACATAACTGTTGCGCCCGCATAATTCTGAATCCTTTCAAAACACCTGTTCTGAAACGTTGATGATGGGAATACGTGAAACTCTAGCACATGTTTAAAACGAATGTGCGCCGCGCTAAGGCGACATCCACATGTTGAAAAAGAGCCGCACTCAATCCGTGAAACCTTTGCAAAGTTTGTAAAACGAATGTGCGCCGCGCTAAGGCGAGAACCATACTTTGAAAAAGGAACCGCCCTCAATCCGTGAACCTCTTGCAGATGTTAACAAAAAAAAGAATGTGCGCCGCGCTATGGCGAGAGCCACATCTTGAAAACAACCCGCCTTCAACCCGTGAGCATCTTGCAAATGTTGTACAAAGAATGTGCGCCGCGCTAAGGCGAGAGCCACCTTTTGAAAAACACCCACCCTCAATCCGTGAAACTCTTGCAAACGTCCATGTTTTAAAATTTACGCCGCGCTGAGGCGATAGCCACATTTTGAAAACGGCCCGCCCTCCATCTGTGAAGCTGCTGCCGATGTTTAAGCTTCAGAATTATAAATGGTGAGGGGTTTTCAAGCGAAGCGCCCGGCCCGCCCTAAAAACTGCCCCCGGGGTGCGACAAAGAGACATTATTTATAACAATAAGAAAAGGACGAGGAGGAGGAGGAGAAGGAGGAGGATAATGAGGAGGACCATGAGGAGGACGAGGAGGTGGAGGAGGAGGAGGAGGAGGAGAAGGAAGAGGAGGAAGAGGAGGAGGAGGAAGAGGAGGACGAGGAGGACGAGGAGGAGGAGGAGGAGGAGGAGGAGGAGGAGGAGGCCTCGAACAGCGGCACCGCGGTCGAGCGCAACGCTGCCATCCCGCCCAGCCAGGCGCCCGGCGCCGCGGGCGGCCGCCCGGCCAGCGCCGAAGGAGGAGGGAGAAGGAGGCGGTTAGCAGGGCGAGGGGGGGGGAGGAGGGTGCAGGAGATGCGGAGGGAGACGGAGGGAGGGATAAGGAGGGAGGGAGGGAGAGGAGGGGGGAAGAGGACGAGGAGGCAGGAGAAGGGGGGAGGAGGGGGGGGGAGGAGGGTGGAAGGGGAGCGGTGGCCAAGGAGGGGGGGAGGAGCATGGCACAGGGAGGCGCACGAGGAGGCAGGAGGACCGCCACGAGCTCGTCCGCGCCGCGGACGCACTGCGGCAACAGCGACCGCCAGGCGGCCAGACGAGCGCACGCGGCCACGGTGAGCGCGTAGGCGCTAGCCGTCGGCGTGGCGCCTCTCGAGGTATTCGTCCAGCTGCTTCTCCTCCTCCCCTTCCTCCTCCGCCTCTTCCTCCTCCTCCTCCTCCTCCACTTGCATCCTCCTCTTCCTCCTCCTACTCCTCCTCCTCCTCCGCTTGCATCCTCCTCTTCCTCCTCCTCCTTTTCCTTCTCCTCCTTCTCCTCCTCCTGCATCCTCCTCCTCTTCCTCCTCCTCCTCCTCCTCCTCACCCTCCTCCTACTCCTCCTCCTCCTCCTCCTCCTCCTTTAACCTCCTCCTCCTCGTCCTCCTCCGTCTCCATCTCCGTCTCGTTGTCCGTCTCCGTCCGTCTCCGTCGTCCCCACCTCCGTCTCCTCGATCCCCATCTTCATCCGTCCTCCTCCAGTCCCGCTCCCATTCCATGTCGTCCTCCTCCCTCTCCGCCCGCACCCTCCTCTTCCTGCTCCTGTGCCTGGTTCTCCTCCTCCTCCTCCTTCTTCTCTTCCTCCCTTCTTCCTCCTTCTCTTCCGTCTCCTCCTCCTCTTCCCCTCCTCCTCCTCCGTCTCCGCCCTCCTCCTCCTCCTCCTCCTCCTCCTGCTCCTCCTCCTTCTCCTTCTCTTCTTCATCCTCCTTGACTATTCTGCTCCCTTTTCCTCATGCCCCCCTCTCCTCCTCCTCCTCCGTCCTCCTCCTCCTCCTCCTCCACCTCCTCCTCCTCCTCCTCCTCCTCCTCCTCCTCCTCCTCCTCCTCCTCCTCCTCTTCCGCCCTTCCATGCCTGCCTCCATGAATCCTTGCTCTCCCGCTTCGCAGCCTCCTCCATCCTTCACACTTACACAATATGAACACTACTCCCCTCTCTCCCCTGATGACGCCCGGGAAATGTTCGGCCTCCCTCCGCGTGCTGTTCTTTTTGCACACAGGATTCCCGAGAATTGGGTTTTCGCTTGGCATTGTTTCAAAATTATGTTCCCGCTGAAGCGCTGGCCTCATGTTCGGGCTTCCGCTCGTTCCGAATCGTGATCCCGCTGCAGCGCTGGTCTCATTTCCGCGCTTCCGATCGTTCCGAATCGTGCTCCCGCTGCAGCGCTGGCCTTATTTCTGCGCTTCCGCTCGTTCCGAATGGTGATGCCGTTGCAGCGATGGCGTCATGATTTCCAGTGACATGCCACGGCATGCAATGCAATGCTATGTGGTGTTCCGTTGTGCGATGCCATGCCTTCAGCTGCAACGCTAGGGTGTGCAAAGCTTGACTACGCAGTGCTACGCCATGCTACGCTTTGATCTTCAACGCCATGCTATGCCATGTTCGGTTCTGTGCCGCTGTGCGATGCCATTTGCGTTGCAATGCTTTGTGATGCAAATCGTCACTATGCAACGCAACGCCATACTATGACATACGACGCTTTGCCGTGCTCTTCTACGCCCTGCTATGCCGTGCTCTACGATACATTGCGCACCCTCTCGGGATCATTGCCCTGCTCGACATCCGACTGTGCGAATAGAGAGGAGATCCACGCCATGGTAAGGGATGGGAGGAGGGGTAGGACGTCAGATATGACGCGAATTCACCTAGCTTGATGCTTCCCCTTCCAGCCTTCCCACCCTCCTAGATCTTCATCCTCTCCCCCTGAATCCAACATCCTTCAACCTGATTATCATCCCTTTTCTCCTCCTCTTCCCCTCCAATCCGTTGTCGTCCTGTTCCCCCTATTTCTTCTCCCCCCTCAGCTTTGTTGTCGTCCTCTTCCCACATGCCTCAATTTTCCTGCATACTCAATCCTCCGAATCCTTATCCGCCCTTCATACCTCTTCCAAGATCCTCCCACTTCCTCCTCTTTCTCCTCCTCCTCCTACTACTCCTCCTCCTCCTCCTCCTCCTCCTCACCCCCTTTTTTCTCCTCTTCCCACCTTCCTCCTCCCCCTCCTCGCTCATTTTGCTCCTCCTCATCCTCCTCCTCACTATTCCTCCTCATGTTCCTTCCCCCCTTCCTCCTCCTCTTCCTCCTCACCCCTTGCTGCATCTTATGATCCTCCCCCACCTTCCTCCCGCCTCCCTCCTCGTGCTGCGGAGTCTTCCCCTTTCACCTCCCTCCCTCCCTCTTCCCCCCCCTGCTCTCCTCCTCCTCCTTCCTCCTCCTCCTCCTCTTCCTTCTCCTCCTCCTCCTACTACTCCTTCTCAGCCCCCTTTCCCTCGATCCCGCTGTCTCTTCCCTTTCGTCACGCTCTTGACTCCACATTTTCCAATTCTTAGTCGGCTTCCTATTCTCACTCCTCTTCTTCATCTTCTTCCTACGCCTGATACCTTAATCTTAATCCTCCAGGCTCGCCGGTGGAGAGCAGCAACACCTCGTCGCCCCTCGAGGCGGCGGCCGCCGCCTCGGAGAGCAC